CTGGGAGTCAGATGTATGTCCTCCCCATTCTCTAAAGGGTGTGTGTGTGTGTGTGTGTGTGTGCTCCTTGTTAAGATCTGATATAAATGCTCCTGTTTTGTTAAGTTTGAAACAGGTTTCTGTTACTTGCAAACTCGTGGGTAGTCTACTTTGAATTCAACCATAATAATAGCTAACATTTATTGAGCACATACTTGGCATCAGGCACTGTTCTTTGCTTTTTTCTTTTCTTTGCTTTTTTTTGAGAGAGGGTGCAAGTGAGCAAGGAACAGAGAGAGAGAGAGAGAGAGAGAGAGAGAGAGAGAGAGAGAAGCGTGGCTCACCTGAAGTGGGGCTTGTGCTCGCCCAATGTGGGACTCAAACTCACAAACCATGAGATCAAGACCTGAGCTCAAGTCAGGTGCTTAATGACTAAGCCATCCAGGCACCCCTCAGGTAGTGTTCTGACTCATAGGGTTTAGCCCCCTTGATAAATGTTGTTTTTATAAACACCATATGTTGTTGTTCCAAACATTAACCACCATTACAATTAGTTTACAACTACTTACCAGCATAAACAGCTTTGGGAATCCAGGATTGCCTAAATTTGAGCTGGCTAAGTGTTATTTGTATTTCAGTTGATTGAAAAATCTAAGGTGCGCCTGGCGGGCTCAGTCTGTACAGCATGCTACTCTTGATCTCGGGATTGTGAGTTCAAGCCCCACATTGGGCGTGGAGCAGACTTTAAAAAAAAAAAAAAGAAAGAAAGAAAGGAAAGGAAATATGAGAGTGCACGAGTCATGATAGCCATTCCTCAAGTGAAATAGCATTGCTCGGACATTTTTTTAAAATTATAGGGGCGCCTGGGTGGCGCAGTCGGTTGAGTGTCCGACTTCAGCCAGGTCACGATCTCGCGGTCCGTGAGTTCGAGCCCCGCGTCAGGCTCTGGGCTGATGGCTCGGAGCCTGGAGCCTGTTTCCGATTCTGTGTCTCCCTCTCTCTCTGCCCCTCGCCCGTTCATGCTCTGTCTCTCTCTGTCCCAAAAATAAATAAACGTTAAAATTATATAGTACGCACATTGTTATTCGTTTTAGGTAAATATCTGACAATGTTCAATTCAATAAATTATATAGAAGAAACCTCCCAAACTTTCATCTAAAAAAGGGCACAAAATAAAAGCTCATTTATTTTACGTTGTATAGTTTTCAGAAATTGCACCGGTGTGAGTGTAGCAGCCTGCACGTGCAGTGATCAGATAGTCTGAATTCTTGCACGAGGCAAGGACCATATTTCCTGAAGTTTGGAAAGCGACCAGAGGTTTGTTGAGGGTCCCCCAGGCGAATGTGCAGCTAGCCTCGTCGTAGAACTACCTCTGCGACAGGCAGGGCCCCCTGGGGGCCTGGGCACTGACCTCTGGGTCCCAGGAAGTGTAAGTGTGACCTGGTGAGCCAGGTCATTGGACAGGGACTGCCCTTATATGCCTGGCTTTTGGATAATCAGCCACCTCTGCTGCTGCTTCTTGGCACACTTCAGCATCAACCGGAAGATGTGGAGCCCCCTTTCCCACAAGTTAGACACTCGCGTTTCCACCCTTGGAAGGGGCAGGTGAATGGAGTCCCACAGCGTAGCCAGGCCACACATGTGTGTCCAGGGGATGGCCTCATGCGCCCATCTGAGTGTCATTGCCACAGTGTACCACGAGCTGTGAAAAGTGACAGCAGAGCAGTGTCGCTGATCCGCTCCTCATGGGCCCCTAGTCCCTTTGATGTCCAGCTGCTGCATTTAGATGGATTGAACACAGACAGCGGGCTCACCCGCAGCCGATGCAGCAGGCCCAGGGGTGGCCTCTGCTCGCCCACCTTCCTCAGTGGAGCTCGTGACACCTTCGGACATTGGGGTGTAAGGAGCATGCTGTCCAGCTCCTTCCCCGCCGTCTCTTCCCTGATGACAACCCCACCCCTCTGAACCTCCCAGCTTTGACCTTGCTGATTTCTCTCCTCACTCTTTATCCTTTGGACTCGATGCTTGGCACCTTTTCTACAATAACTGTGATTCTTTCTCTCTTCCACCCGGGTACTTTATGCCATCTTGGGGAGGCTCTGGGACTCTCCCATCGGGTAAGGCTGGTAGAGGGGCTCCACGTGGCTTGCCCACCCTCCCTCTTCCAATATTACTATCCCCCCATTCAAATCTAGGCCTCACCACTTTATGGGAGACTGTGCGAGTTACCTTGACCATTTGACTCCGTTTCTTGTATAAGTGGGGTGGCGAATCCCTTTCTCACCAGCTGTAGTGAGATTTACTGATTATATATATATGATATATATGGTCCATCACAACGTAGTGTGTATATATATATATAGTCCATCACAATGTAATATATATATATATGTGTGTGTGTGTGTGTGTATATAGTCCATATATATATATATGGTCCATCACAAGGTAATACAGATATAGATATAGATATGGTCC